ATAACATAAAACGAATCACTCAATACATGAGATTGTTATTTATACATTGACGTTTTATTAAATATAGACTGTTCTGTTGAAGGTGATTTTCTGGTCGTCGACCAAACTTCGGATACAAAAGTTCGACAACTTAACATGTTTGGAGATCTAAACAAGAGTTACAAATTCGACTTGAGACAACTTTACATGTTGTTTATATCATAATTGACCCTTTCGACCCAATTAACTCCCGCAGTAAGTTACCCGCATCGTTTTGAGCACTTCTAAGTATGGGGCAATCTGTGTGTTGACGACCAAGCATACCGGCCTGTTAGAACGGCCAACCAGAAAATACGTTTATCAGAATAATTATGGTAACACTAAAAGCTCAAGAACCCAAGATAGATTAAATCGACTGCGTGGTAAGAATTACTTCTGTACACAGTAAGTGAGCCCAATTCTGCCGGGTTACAAGAGGGATGGCATCAGCATCTTGGGCATGAAGTATCTCCATCAAGATTGTCACTTCCCTACGGAGGTCATTCACTTTATCTTGATGATGATTCGATTTCGACAAGAGCTTCTCCTTCACTTCGCATGCTGCTTTGTTCACTAACGACCAGAAATCATTCTTCCCCTGTCAACATATCGAATCAAAGAGACATCACAGTGATATCGCAACAAGTGTTTGACATCATTATATGATGGCAAATCTCTACTTACCTCAAGGGTAGTTTCTGATTCATCACGACCAGCAGATTTCATCTCATCTCCAAAAAACTGAGCAGAAGAAATGGACTTTGCGTTTGAGAACCTCTTTCTTGCTTCATCTGATTCTTCAACCTAGTAATCAAATTAGTTAAAAGATGACTGTAACTGTTTCGGAGTTTCACTAAATTACACACAAGCTTACTTGAACTTCTGACGAGCTGGAGCTTGATTTCTTGGCGAAACAACTCATGTCCGTTCCCGTAAAATAAAAGAAGCTTAATGGTAACTTTGATGGAGGAACACGGCTAAGAACCTAGTAATCAAAATAGTCAAAAGATGACTTTAATTAGCTAGATCAATACTGTCACTAAAACACACGTGCTTACTTCAGCTATCGACGGGCGGTCCATTCCCGAATCTGCTAAGAAGCTTGATGATGACTTTGGTGGAGCAACATGGCTAAGAACTTGTGTACCACCACCGCTTTGTCCTCCGGATTGCAAGGCGTCATTGTTCTCAAACTGAGAGGCAGATGAAAAAGCCGCTGATGATTTGATTCCGCGGTTAATAGCTGAAGATGCTGCAGGAATAAGCAGTGAAGACTCTTCCGGGGTCTGCTCATAATGATTTTCCTTTGGCTGCATTTTACCGAAATGAAAGAAAGAAAGAAAAAAATCTGTTGGTTCCATCCAAAAAAGAGGACAGTAACATTTCATGCTCTAAAAAACACCCCGCGAGGCTTACCTTAGTAGTAAGCTTCCTTGCACCAAGACCACCAGTTTTTCCTGTCCTCTTAGCAATGATAGGTTTCGTAAACGTACTAGGCAAAAATTCATTAGAAGCTTTAGGCGAAGAAGTGGCACTGGTAGCTTCATGTATCACAGAAGAAGTTTCTTTGGGAGGTAACTCTTCCTTGACAGAATAAGAAGAAACCCCAGGAGATACTTTTGGTAGATCAGTGGTAGTATCTTGTGCGATGGCTTTAGCAACTTCCTTAGCAAGAATCTGCCTATACAAATCAGCAGCTCTTGAAGTGTACTTAGACTCGATATTGCCATTGTCCGTCCATCCATGTTGCTTGAAGAACACCTGAGCGCGGTAGTTCCCACCAAACATCATTGCCCTAAGTTGCTCAGGGCTCCATGAGTCTAAATTCGTTGATCTATATCGAACCGGAAAAAAGAAAAAAACAACGTAGCATCTTGGCTCCATTAGTATTTGCTGTAAATCGATCAAATAAGACATAGAACCACTCTGAAATATATTATCTTGTCATAATTTGAATGAGTCTATTTTAGAGAAACTTGTGGAACTGGAGTTCAGATTCAACCCACACTCGAGTCTAATATTTCATAACTAATACCTATGATCATGTCCTTAAACCCTAGCCAGAATCAAGAAGTTGGTACAATTAAGTGTAAGCTTAGATTGGATTAAGATTGTTCCTGAGTTTTACTTGACGAAGCTGATATGAACACCGAGGCTCCGATGAGTGGCTGAACAATCCATGCAGAGAAAAATACCGTATGTAACCGATGCCCATGTCGGATTTTTGGCACTACAAAAAAAGCATACCTAGAAATTCAATAGAAATTATCATGAACCCCTTCTTTTAGTCAAACAAGTCCCTGATCTTCTAGGTATGATCGAAATTATGTTCCTCAGTTTGGATATACAAACGAAACGAAGATTCCAAATTACTGTACGTAAAACCCAGAAAATAAAATAAGGAATACAAGAAAAGCTGACGAAAATCGAACCTTGTTCTCAGATTTTGCTTTGAGTTTTCTAAAAACAATATTTTTGTCCGTTGGATTGTCAGAAGCCATTAGACGATGAAATTTAGGTTTACAAAGGGGGATATTCTAAATACTTTATTTGAACCAAAATGTTTCTAGTGTTTTTAACACTGAAGTTTTTAAAGCCAATCCAAAATGGTGTTTTATTTTTAATTAAAAAAAAATCTATTATAAATGCTTTATAGTTGACTGTTGACTTTTTCGGTTACAAAAGTTCGATTTGAGACAACTTTACATACATGTTTGGAGATTTAAACTAGATCTAGAGTTACAAAATCTGGTTCGATTTGAGACAATAACTAGATTTTAACTTGCGGTAGACCGGAACAATTTGTTTTTAAAATTAGTGATTTTTAAAATATGATGATTATACCAAATTTGTCGGATAACAATTTAATCTACTCGCTAACAAATGTGCTTCAAAATACTAGTATAGCTAGATTGACTTTTTTCTAACCCATATAACTCCGCAGTAAGTTACCCGCATCCGTTTGAGCACTGGTAAGTATGGGGCAAAATGTGGGTCGACCGACAAATTCATCTCGAGTATCAACACTACTAATGGCCTCTTAGAACAACCAACCAGAAAATATGTTTATCGGAAAAATTATGGTAAAACTAATAGATCAAGAACCCGAGATAGATTAATTTGACTGTGTGGTAAAACTTACTCGTCTATACATTAGGTCAGCCCATTGCCTACGGGTGTCAAGAGGGATGGCATCAGCATATGGGCATGAAGTTTCTGCATCAAGTCTGTCACTTTCCTACGGATGTCATAAACTTTATCTTGAGTAGACACGAGCTTCTCCTTCACTTTACATGCTGATTTGTTCACTAACGACCAGAAATATTTCTTCACCTGTCAACATATCGAATCAAAAAGACATCATAGAGATATAGCAACAAGTGTTTGACATCACAATATGATGGCAAATCTCTACTTACCTCAAGGGTAGTTTCTGATTCATCAAGACCAGAAGATTTAATCTCATCTCCAAAAAAAGATTAAATCTCATTACCAAAAAACTGAGAAGAAGAAATGGACTTTGCGTTTGAGAACCTCTTTCTTGCCTTATCCCATTCTTCAACCTAGTAATCAAAATAGTTAAAAGATGAAAGTAATTAGCTAGATGATCAATGCTGTCACTAAAACACACGTACGGGCTTACTTTAACTATCGACGAGCTGTCCATTCCGGAATCTGCTAAGAAACATGATGATTACTTTGGTGGAGCAACATGGCCAAGAAGTGGCATCAATAACTCTTCCTTGACAGAATAAGAAAAACCCACCCATTAGACGGTTCCAGTAGACCAGTAGTAGTATCTTCTGCAATAGCTTCTACAACAAGAATCTGCCTATACAAATCAGCAGCTCTTGAAGTGTACTTAGACTCAATATTGCCATCGTCCGTCCATCCATGTTGCTTGACGAACACCTGAGCGCGGTAGTTTCCACCAAATATCATTGCCCTAAGCTGCTAAAGGCTCCATGAATCTAAATTCGTTGATCTATTATACCAACTGGAAAAAGAAAAATGAGAACGTACATTAGCATTTTTTGCTATTAATCGATCAAATAAGACAGAGAACCACTTTGAAAATATTATCGAAGATTTTAATCAGTCTCCACTAGTGTAAGGAACTGACATTTAAATTTCAACCCACACTCGAGTCTACAGTTTAAGAACTAAAAACCTATCATGCCCCAATTAAACCCTAGCCAGAATCAAGAAATTGCTACAAGTTTACCTGAAGAAGCTGATATGAACACTGAGGCTTTGATGAATGGCTGAACAATCAATGCAGAGAAAAATGCCGTATGTAACCGATGCGTATGTCGGATTCTTCTCACTACAATCAAAGCATACCTAGAAATATCCAAAAAAAATCATCTCATGATCCCAATCGAATAAAAAAAAAACAAAGAAAAACCGAACATTGTTCTCAAATTTTGCTTTGAGTTTTCTAAAAACAATATTTTTGTCGGTAAGATCGATAAAAGAATTTACCTTTTAGAATTCATCCGTTTTTTTTTTTTCTTAAGGACATCAAACCAAGCATCGACCTTGGTACTGGCCACAACTATCTAATTAAGGTGTCCCGAGAAAATCTTCAATCCTTGTCCAGGCCGAATGTAGCCCAAGATCAACTCTTCCAGCTCGACGACCACTTGGAATACGTTCTTATCTCAACTACAAAAAATCTTGAAGTGAAATCGGCCCAATCAAAGTACAAACGAAGGAGTTATTCAATGATGATTCCCACTTGATGCAAGCCTCGGATTCCACCAACACAAGACTCGCAAATTCAAAGGCTAAAACTATGCGGAAGTGGTGATGATGATGAAGTAGCCGATTTGATGTTGAATCCACAACACCGAGTGCTAGAGAATATGATCCAAAGGCTATTCCTCGCGAGGATCAGAGACTCTACATGAAACTTAAGTGGTTTGATTCCACGAACTACCTAGAATTCGCAAGAACAATGATTTGATTCAAGACACAAGTGTTGCAGCAAACTGAAATTTCTTATTAATAAAAAGCTTGAATTGAAAGTAAAAAGTGTTAGAGCTTATATAGGCTTGAGATAGATGACCTCCAACGATGTAGAACAAACTAAGAAAGGGAAGAAATCATTCAACATAAAGGAGAATTAACGTTGTAGAGTTTCTAGTCGTTTGGCTTTAATGGAGGAGCATCAATGATAGTGGCTGAAGAGATATGCAGGTTTTTAGGGCTTAGAGGACGTGTAGGATCTCCTCGAACAGATAGAAGGTCGAGATTAACTAGAAGAGTCTCGATTGGTGTTGAAACTAGATGCATTACTACATTTATCCTTTGAAGCAAAATGAACCTTGAAACACTATAGTTAAAATGCTTTTCAAAAGAACATAAGAATGTTGGATATATTTAATTTCTATCATTGGTTAGATATATAAACCTAACCAAAAAATACTAAGAAATATAATGTCTCAACATTCGAAAGCCAGCTACACTAAACCTTTCAAGAGATTACACATATATCATAAGCATAAAAATGTATCATAAGACAAAAAAAAAAGAAGCAAACTTAACTAGATCAAAATGCAAATGCCAATAGCAGACCGGCCCAACCCTATATAGATGAGGTTTTCTTTATTACGGTTCATGCATTTATCTTGAGGTTAGCAAGTTGCCAGATATTGATTGGAAATATATCAGAGGTGTCGCCAGAGAGTAGACGCCGAGCAATGATGACGTTAGCAGCTTCGGTAGGATGGTAAGGATCCCAAAACACATATTTGGAACGATCCATACATACTTTTGAAGATGGACCACATGGAATAAGCCCACCTACTTTTCCAAGTAATGAACAACACGGAATCTTCTCACTTTCAAAACCTACAATATCAAATTACCAAATTCATAAGTTAAAATATAAAATAAGTAACATAGCATTATTAAGAGATCAAATGGTTGAGATTACGTACCGTAAGATGAATAATTTTGTAGGATATCATAAACAATGCGAAAAACATCAGCGTAGACGAATCTTGAACCTTGTAGATTCTTGTTTAAATCCTCTACTAGGGTTTTAAGCTTGATATTATACATTTGTGCCACTTCATTTGGTTCAACCGAACATTCATCTCCAGCCGTTGGATCAGTTTCTCTCTCGAACGGTATACAACCAATGGGACCAATATTAATCACCACGATTTTCCTCGCACCAAATTGGTACAATCTCTGCCAAAACCATATAAATTATTGATCAACCAGTTTGGTTTTAATTCGGTTTAGTTGAAATTAGAGAAGCGATTATTACGGTGAGTTGTAATCGGAATCTTGAGATCATTGTATCCACGAAGACTTCGGGAGATGTGACTTTCCGTTCAACGGTTGACACCACCGGGGTGAAATAATTGTTGATTAGATCGTTTGAACCGGTCGTAACCGAGAAAATTGCTGACCGGAATAATTTAGCCGCTTCGGATTCACCAATCCAAGAATTATGTCTCGTCTGTCGTGCAAA